TCTCAAAATTTCCACAGATTTACTAGAGATTTCTGACAATTTCATCCAATTTTCCTCAAGATTTCTAAAGATTTCTCAAGGATTTCATCGAGATTTCTAAAGATTTCCCCAGCATTTGATCGAGATTTCTGAAGATTTCCCAAGGATTTCATCAAGATTTATAAAAATTTCTCAAGGATTTCATCGAGATTTCTGAAGATTTTCTACGGATTTCATCCAGAATTCTAAAGATTTTTCAAAGATTGAATCGACATTTTGAACAGATTTCACCAGGATGTTATCAAAATTTCTAAAGATTGTATCAGGATGTCATCAAGAGTCTAAAGGATTTCAACTGTTTCAACTGGGATTATTCCCAGAATCCAACAATGTATATACTACGATCCTTCTTAAAATTGAACAATGCTTGTACTAAGATTGTTCCTAATATATAGAACTTAGTTATACAAAATGGCAGAATTCACTTGATATATGAAAGTAGAGAGTTCCTTATATAGATCGATACCTGTAAAACAAAACGGTGAATGAAATCTGGACAAAATTGGATTTCCAGATTTTTGATTTTGTTGTTGGAATTTTGTAAAAATAGGAATATCTAATAAATAAATAAATTAGTTGATTGATCTGTCAGAATATATTCTAATTCATGAATCCGCTGTGTGGAAAACATAATTGTAAAAGGAAATAAATCATTTGAAGTAAAATTGATCTAAGCAACACTTTGGAAATTTATTCAAAATATTAAAGTACAGACTTCCTTATATAGATCGATATCTGTAAAACAAAACGGTGAATGAAATCTGGACAAAATCGGATTTCCAGATTTTTGATTTTGCTTGTCGAAATTTATAAAAAGAGGATTATCTAATTAATTGATTAGCTCATTGATCCGTCAGAATATATTCTTATTCAAGAATCCGATTGCGTGGAAAACAGAATTGTAATAGGAAAAAAATCATTTGAAATAAAATTAATCTGAGCAACACTTTGAAAATTCATTCGAAATATTAAAGTAGAGACTTCCTTATATAGATCGATATCTGTAAAACAAAACGGTGAATGAAATCTGGACGAAATCGGATTTCCAGATTTTTGATTTTGTTGTTGGAGATTTGTAAAAAGAGAAATATCTTATTAGATGATTAGCTGATTGATCTGTCAGAATATATTCTAATTCATGAATCCGACTACGTGGAAAATAATACTGGATACCCAGAAAGAACAATCCGACAGTCGGATCTTATCGGATCCTATCGGAAAAATTATCGAATTTTTATCGAATCCGATGGCAATTCGTCGGAATCCTTGGTATCGGATTCCGACAGGAAGTTGTCGGATGTCGGAAAGTGTCGGAAGTGGCCGGGATCTTGTCGGAACTCTGAAAATCCGATACTTTCCAACATCCGACAACTTCCGACTAATTTTCATCGGATCCGATGGTGTGAGATCGGCCTGGGTATTCTGCATTCTTATATAATCCGACAAGTTCCGATACCAATGATTGATCGGTTTTATCATGGAATCCGGTGTCATTTGAAACCGCAAAATCCGGCCATTTCTTGACATCAGATTCCCCGGAATACCATCGGAAGCGAACAGATCTTGAGATCGGATCTGACCAGTTCCGAATATATGAATCTAGTCAGAGCTCGATGAATCCGACCGGCGGATGTCAAAGGAAAACAGTGGATAGCATCGGAATCCGACAAAAAGTAACCGACCGAATCTGATTAGCCGTATCTCAACGGATTTGAAACCTATCCGACAGGATCCGACATAGCTATTTCGACCTGGGATGTATGTATCCTATTTTCACTAATTCTCTTTCTATATGGATTAATTTTTTTTTTCGTGTCAGCCATTAACATGCTCAAGGAAAAGGTGAGTAATTATTTATTTATTTTTCTCTTCTTATTGAGTTTGAGTTGAGGTCTCGTACTATATCAGGTCTTCCGGATAGACCCTAAATACCGGCCAGAAACTGTCTTGGTGTCTGTGGCAACACGGTCGGGCCCCAGGCTCACTGACGCATGTCACCGAATGGGTGCATGTGGATGATGTGAGTTTTCCCGAGCGTGTACGAGCGTTACGCTCGCCACAGCGCCACGAGGATGGTTCCTGGTCGCGCGCGTGAATAGAAATAAAAAAATTTTTTTCGATTCGAATGCAATTTATTGAATTGAAAAAAATTGAACACGATTGTTTTTCTCATCGACGACATAGAGATTCCGGGTGTGGATGTTGTTTAACAGATGATCAACATCCACACCCACAACTGTTATCGTGGAACGGCGATTATTCTAAATCACACACTCTATCACACCCACAATCACCAAAGATTGAGCCGTTTTAAAATTCATTAATATACACACTTTAGAAACCCTTGTAAGCTGAATTTAATATGATACGAGGAATAAGTTTGAAATTACAAAGAGAAAAGGGATTGTTAGAAGAGTAAAATAATCTTAATGTTAAATTAGTTTTTGTAAACAAGGTTCATTAAGGAAAGAAAGAAAAAAATTGTTTATTGTTTTTTTGTTTGTTATGGTTGATATAATTCAGCACTGTTCAAATAAGAACCGCTGTATCCAGCAGTAACTAACACTTTTCCATTTGTTAATATGGATGCTGTGTGCCGATATCGAGCAGTACTCATACTGCTGGTGTTGGTCCAGGTTCCTGTTGATGGATCATATAATTCAGCACTCTTCAAATAAGAACCGCTCGATCCACCAGCAACTAACACTTTTCCATTTGTTAATACGGATGCTGTGTGGTAAAATCGAGCAGTACTCATACTGCTAGTGTTGGTCCAGGTACCTGTTGATGGATCATATGATTCAGCACTATTCCAATAAGAACTGCTGAGTCCACCAGCAACTAACACTTTTCCATTTGTTAATACGGATGCTGTGTGATATTCTCGAGCAGTACTCATACTGCCAGTGTTGGTCCAGGTTCCTGTAGATGGATCATATAATTCAGCACTATTCAAATAAGAACCGCCTAAACGTAGGTGAAGTTAGCCTCATATTCGAGTAAATCCAGCCAAGATTCGGCGCCAAACCCGCCACACCTGCGCCAAA